TGCGTTGAACCCACATTTAAAAGTTCATTGCAAGTCAAGCTTCATACTCTGTTTTTTAATTTCTAAGTAGGGCAATTATTTTAAGTTCCTCCTATAAAAATTAGAGGATGATTTTTTTCCCCTTGGAAAGTTAAAAAAAAAAAATCTAAAAAGTTGTCAGGATCAAGCAATTAGGGCATGTCTGTGAAACACTTGGAATCTGAAAAATATGGTAAAACTTTAATTTAAAAGCAACCTGCAATTAACATCACCTTTCAAAATTATTCTCAAATTAGCCAACTAAATTATATTCAGCCAAAATACATAAGATGGACCGATCTGCTATTATGGTAATCTTCTCAGCAAGGCTGGGCCAACAGATGTAAGGAACAAAAATCAAGTTCAAGTTTGTATTTCATTTGCTCATTTTCCTTCAATGATGGCAGATGGCTTAAATATTAACCCTATTAATAAAATACTTGAATATTCATTACACAGCTGATCAACTTAATTTATAACTCCAAAAACTCACATTATGAATTCCACTGCACGGATGCCCACCTGACTCAGTTTCCTAAACCTGTCACTCTGAGTGGTCCAGCCAACAGCCTGGGCATCAGCTGGAGGCTGTTAGAACTGCACACACTCCCATGCCGCATCTATTCTGAGCCAGAATTTGCACTTTAACAAAAAATCCCACATGATTCCTATGCATTTTAAGTATGTGTAGACCAGCGGACGCGGCTGTGAAATTTTTGTGGGTTTTTTTTTTTTTTTTTTGGTTTTCTTTCACTTTCTTTTTCTTTTCTTTTTTGGTGCCGTTCCTGGGGTTTGAACTCAGGTTGTGGGTGCTGTCCCTGAGCTTTTTTTTGCTCAAGGCTAGCACTCTACCACTGGAATAAAGCTCCACTTCTGAATGTTTGGTGGTTCATGGTGGAGATAACCTGGACTGGCTTTGAACAACGATTCCCAGATCTCAATTTCCTGAGTAGCTAGAATTACAGGCGTGAGCCACCAGCACCTAGCTGGTTTGAGAGAGAGACAGAGAGACAGAGAGAGAGAGAGAGAGAGAGAGAGAGAGAGAAAGAGAGTTGTTATTTTTTTCTTGGATGGTTACAAAGAAATTTACGTCCAAATTGTGGTTCAACTGAACCTCCTTTATACAACTACTTAAAGAAATGTTTTTTTTAAAAATTCTTGTCAAATTTTCTCCAGACAGTGACTTGTTAACAATTCAGAACAGTACATCAGTCAGCACACACATATTCTATACAATAATCTTTATGTCTCAGACAGTCTTATCTTTCAGCTAGGACTTCAAGTGTGAGGAATCTCATTTTTTCCTTTCAGGTTGACATTTCTGTCTTCGCACATGGCCACTGTGATAAAAATTTTCTTTGGGCTGGGAGTGTGGCTTACCATGCAGGAAGCCCTGGGTTCAAGTCCTCAGCACCACATACACAGAGTGCTAGCCTTGAGCAAAAGAAGCCCAGGGACAGCGCCCAGGCCCTGAGTTCAAGCCCAGGTCTGGCAAATTTTTTTTTTCTAGAACTAAACAAGTTATACATCACAGAACCAGGAGAACAGATTCCACAATTTCAGAGAAAAAAAAATTCAAAATAGGCTTATCCAAAGTTGATTTTGCAAATTGCTCAGGGGGAAAAGAAGCCACCAGAATGACTCTATCCTTCACCATAATTTTTTATGTGTGCTTAATTTACCCTAACAGATTTTTTTAAAACTGCAGGTATCACATATTTTTAAAATAAGAAATTCACCTAAGACTTAAAGAGGGTATCGTTCTTCAGATGGCTCATCTTTTATTATTAATATTACTGCACAATAGTCACTGTGCCCATAAAATAGAACAAATCTTATTTCTAGGCTGTAACAGATCACAGCAGGCAGGATGGCTCAGCACAGGTTCAGAGAAAGGTACAAATGTTCCGTTTCAAAAGCTCTGCAAAAGCCAACTTCATCTCTTGTGGCCACGGCCATGGATCTATGCCAAGCATTTGAGAACTGTAGAATACAGTGCTGCTTCTTATAAGCAATTATAAAGAGCTCTGTAAAGGGAATGGGGGACTGTCATAAAAACTAACTTCTACCAAATGGCCAGGCATCCATATGCCTCTGTCATGTACGAGGGACCGCACTGTGTCTGCACCAATGTATCCAACACAGATGCCTTAGGAGAAAGGGCTAGAAGAGGATGGAGAGACGTTATTAAGGAACCTTCTGGATCCGTCTCTAAAGTAAGATCTGCCAGCACTCAAACAGTTCTAGCTTTTCCCAAGCCCCAGTTACAGATCCATCACTTTTTTTTTTTTGACCATTGTGGGGCTTGAACTCTGGGCTGGGCGCTGTCCCTCAGCTCTTCAGCTCAAGGCTAGCTTTCTACTCCTTAAGCCACAGCACCACTTCCAGTTTTCTGGAATCTCACAGACCTTCCGGCCTGGGCTGGCTTTGAACTGCGATCCTCAGATCTCAGCCTCCTGAGGAGCTAGGATGGCAGGCAGGAGCCACTGGCGCCCAGCAGATCCATCACTCTTGAACTTAACTCTTTCCCCCGTGTTGTAGTTTCAGTCTGAGTCACTTTTCAGGATATACAGTTCCTCAGAGAGCACAACTAGTGTTTAGTACTTTTAAAAATGGGCCTACAAGCCAGGTGCTGGTGCCTTATGCTACTCGGTACTCTGAGATCTGAGGATTGCAGTTGGAAGCCAACAGGGGCAGTAAAGTCTGTGAGACTCTACCCCTAGAGCTACAGCACCACTTCCGGTTTTCTGATGGTTTATTGGAGATAAAAGTTTCACGGAGCTTCCTGCCCAGGCTGGCTTTGAACCATGATCCTCAAATCTCAGCCTCCTGAGTAGCTAGGATTACAGGCGTGTGCCACCGGCGCTCGGCTGTGAGACTCTTGTCTTCAAGAAATGACTCAGAAAAAGCCACAAATGGAAAGTCCTAGCCTTGGGCAAAAAGAAGCTCAGGGACAGAGCCCAGACCCCGAGTTCAAGCCCTAGGACTGGCACGCATGCACACACACACACACACACACACACACACACACACTGATTTCAAGCTTTGGAGTGCCCTTTAGTCTTCTGGAATGTGACAAATAATTCATGATGCCCTACCTTTACTCCCATTCACAAGCCTGTCTCTTAGTGCTTTACTTCATTTTCCTTTTCTATCCCTCATTCTTCAGTACACACCTGTCTGGCTTGAGGGAAACACCTCTTGGTAAAGACCGTGAAAGATCTTCCTGCTGCAACATCCAACACCTTCCTTCATCCCCTGGGAACTTCCCATCTCTGTCCCCTGCCAATCTTCTTGGGACTCCGGCCCCTCTACCTGCCCTGCAGACCTTGGACTACCTTGGGGCTTGTGCTGGAATCTCATCTAACCCTGTGACTGGAAATGTCACCTTCAAGCTGCTGACTCACACCTCCAGCCCAGATCTGCCTTCTGAGTCCAAAACAGTATGCCCAACCGTCCACTCAGTGTCTCCGCGGGACGCTTCAGAAATGTCTTAAAGCCACTCTATCCCAAGCCAATGTGTTTGTGATCTTCCCCTTCTCCAACGTTTCCCACTCCCCAAGCAACTGCCAGTCGTTCCTACTCTCATGTCCAATCAATGACCATGGCCGCCATCTTGGGCCTCCAAAATACATATCCCATTTTCCCATCATCCCATAGCACCATCTCTGTCCTACACTAAGTGACCTTCCTGAATCTACTCATCCTTCCCACTACTGCCCAGTCCCACTACACTCAACAGAGTGAGCTTTCCAGGATTAAAATGCCCCTGCTTTAAAAAAAAAAAAATCCTCCAGTGGCTTCTTGTTGATTTTCAGAATAACGCAAGACACCTGCCTACGTCCCAAGACAGCCCTATCTTACCAACCTTCCTTTGGTTCTAAAATATTCCTTTATCATCACCACCCTTCTCTCCTTCACCCTTCTCCTCAGTAAGTACTCAGGTTTTCCCAGGTGCATAGTCTTTGCATGCATAGTGTCTTCCACTTGCAGTATTTAATCTCTTTCCTTGTACTCTTCCACTATGCACAGCTGCCCCCAAACACATAAATATACATATGTATATGTGTGTGTGTGTATACACATGTACAATTTAACACACACCATATGCCATTTTTGTTATGGCACTGTGTGAGGTGATTGATACGTTACTGCAAAGTAATATATCCTATGAAAACTGGGCATGCCTGTGGCTCATGCCTGTTATCCTAGCTACTCAGGAGGCTGAGATCTGAGGATCACTGTTCAAAGTCAGCCTGGGCAGGAAAGTCTGTGAGACTCTTATCTCCAATGAACCACTAGAAAACTGGAAGTGGAGCTGTAACTCAAAGTGGTAGAGCACTAGTCTTGAGCAAAAAGAGCTCAGGGACAAGTGGCACTCTCTCTCTCTCTCTCTCTCTCTCTCTTGAATGCTGGAACTGGGGCTTGAACTCAGGGCCAGGGCACTGTCCTTGAGCTTTTCTGCTCAAGGCTGGCGCTCTACCTCTTAAGCCACCCCACTCAACTTCTAGCTTCAAGTAAGAGTCTCATGGACTTTGAATTTCGGCTGGCTTTGAACCACACTCTGATTTCAGCCTCATGAAAAACTAGGATAACAGTCTTGTTATTTCTTGCTTGCCACTACGATCCCTGAATTTAGGACTCCACGGGAAGTTGCACACACATGACGCTCAACAGATACCTGTTGGCTGAAGGAAATGTTTCCATGTGTGCCCAGGAGGCCTAAGACCAAATGTGGCTCCTCCTCCCACCTCCCCTCACCCCTACTTCCACCTCCCCTCACCCCACCTCCCCTCACCCCTCAACTCCCCTCTCTCCACTCCCACCCCTCCCTCACCCCATCATACCTCCCCCCTCCCTCCACCACCTCCCCTCCCCTCTCCCCTGCTCACCTCCGCCCTCCTCCCACTCCCCACCCTGTACCTCACCTCCTCCTCCCTCCCTGAGGAGCGCCCGACGCCATTGCTGCCCTCAGGCCTCACCTTCCAAGTAGGAGAAGGAGCCGTGGCAGCTTCGGGCTCAGGCTCGGACGACTCTCGGGCACCTGAGAGCATGAAGCGGCCATACCGCTGCAGAGGCCACTGCGCCACTTCTCCCAGAAGTCCCAAGTCGGCCACTTTTCCCGCACCTGCCGCCATGTGCAGCCTCCCGAGCATGCGCTTCCGGTGGAGAAAGGCTCCCCCCCCCGCCAGGCAGCAAGCCAATCAGAAAGCAAGGTGACCTTAAAGGCCTGCCCTCCCGGCTGCAGAAGCCAATGGGACGTCTGAGGCTGCTTGAGCGGGCTTTTCCGGACCTTGGGCGACATCAGTCACTTCCGCCATGAGCAGGCCTCCTCTCGCCTATGAAGAGGGGCTTGGACTTGGAGAAGTTTCTGGAACTGGCTGCGCGGTGTGGTACTTCCTGACGCCATCCTGTATCCCTGGAGGGATTTTCAGCGTTTGCACCCTGTGTGGGGAGCAGGTGGGTAGACAGCCAGCCATGAGAGCTGGGCCCCATCCAGCTGCAGGCCTCCAGCCACCAAGGCTAGGGCGCCTGGACTTGCTGGCCACGGAAAGTGGGTGTCCATCCAACTCAGGTGCCACGATGCAACGCTCCCTGGTGACTTAGAGTCCACGAAGCACTTCCACACCCGTCCTTCCGTGTATCCTCCCAACATCCTTGCGAGTTAAAGACACAAATCAGTGGCGTGGACTAGACAGGGTCCCATAAGATCCCACATCCAGTCCTGATTTTGTCTAGGGTCAGAGAATGGCCCTGTAAAAGTGTTGATCCCCCACAGGCTCCCCGTGTGTTCCCCCCCCCCCAGGTGTGTCCGTCCTATTTGCAAAGAAAATTTAGGTATTTATACAGTGGGTGTCAAATCTGGGCCACTGTGTTAACCAGACACCTGTGAGATAATCAAAATGCAAATAATTTTCCAACTACACAGACCAAAGAGAACGAAGTACATGAAGAGTGATGGAGAAAAGTGGTGACTTGTTCTCTTTACAGAGTAAGGAATATCCACTGTGGGTAAACAATTATGCCAGTCTGGCTCTGGCTTCAGTCATCTAACCTCTGGGACCTGAGATTTAATAAAGAAGACAAAGCAAGACACAAATACACCCATAGTATCTCAGTGAATGCCATGTGCTGGGAGAGTTCAGGTGAGGTTAAAGAATAAAATAAGCCTACCACTGGTGGCTCATGCCTGTCATCCTAGCTACTTAGGAGGCTGAAATCTGAGGATCATTTTTCAAAGTTCAAAGCCAGCTTGGGCAGGAAAGTCCATGAGATTCTTATCTCCAATGAACCACTAAAAAGTCACTTGAGCATGGTAGAGCTAGCTGTGAGCAGAATAGCCCAAGGACAGCACCCAGGCCCTGAGTTCAAGCCTCAGGACCAGCAAACATACACACACATATCTATGAAAGATGAGAAAGTTTTCCAAGATGGAGAAAAGTGGAGTTCCTTGTGGAGGGGACATTGAGCTGGGATGATCACAGAACTAACCAGAATGTGAAGGTGTTTTCTAAGATGAGTCTGTTAAGCTGAGTGAGGGAAAAAAAGTAGTATACCATGACTGCTCAGTTTTCCCGTGGTGACTAAAATGAGGGTATCTTATAGTGACATTCCCCCAGAGAAGGTCTGGGATGGTCAATTTCTCAAGAGCAGAGGGGATAAATTACTTTTAAGCCAAGAATTTGTTACTCTGTGTGTGTGTGTGTGTTGGTTTTGGGGCTTGAACTCACGACCTGGGCTCTGTCTCTAAGCTTTATCACTCAAGGCTGACACTCTGCCACATGCACCACAGCTCCATTTTGGACTTTTTGCTGGTTAATTGGAGATAAGAGTCACACAGACTTTCCTGTTCTGGCTGGCATTGAACCACCATCCTCAGATCTCAGCCTTTTGAATAGCTAGGATTTCAGTCATGAGCTACCAGTGTCTGGCATTGTTACCTAACTTTTTATTGGTCTAGTCATGTTTACCGAAAGGGTCAAAGTTCAAGAACTGCTTCGGAAAGATCCTCAAATGACACAACAGTACTACACTTAGAATAGTAGTCAATAGCTGAAAACTTGGCTTAAGTCTCACATCTATACCCCCGCCAGCTGTGTGACCTTGGGGAACTCGTACAACCTCTCTGTAACGCTATTAAATAGCCACCTTACAAGGTCACAGACAGAATGAAGTAAGAACATCTGTGGGGAAACACTGGGTTGGTGTGTACCACCCACCATGGCGGGCACGTTGGGACTTTCTGCTTGCAGAGTTAACACGACTTTTTGAGTCCAGGAAGGGAGGATGGGAGCCGGAGACTGACATTGGGTCTCAGAGGATCTCACCTTCCAGGCCCCGGACTGCAGCTGCCAGACACCCTTCACAGGAGCAGATGGTGCTTGCCTGGTGGCGGGATGCAGTCAGTGCCCAAGGACACCAGGGCCCTGCTGGGCTCCCACCCCCAAGCTTGCTTCCTAGACGGTGCACCTGTGCTCCAGCTTCTGGTGCCTCCGGTGGCTGCCAAGAGGAGATCATGTCTGCAGAGGCGAAGATGATAAAAACCACAGCTCAGTGCACGGAGGCAAGGATGAAGTCACAATATTAGCTAATGTGACTTGAATGTTCAAGGGTACCCAGCATGACGCAAGAACAGATCAAGCTTTTTCTCTCCTGAGGCTTAAACTCTAGGAGGGGGAAGAAGGCAGAGTAAGTTACTCCGTGTTGTTAACAGCCAATATGTTTTGTTTTAAAGACAAAGCTGTTGCATTAATTAAAGTGCAACTGTACTTTATTTATTTTTCTTTGGACCCGTACTGGGGCTTGAACTTAGGGCCTGGGTGCTGTTCTTTAGCTCTTGCTGTTCAGGGCTGGTGCTTTACCACTTGAGCCACACCTCCACTTCTGGCTTTTTGCTAGTTAATTGGAGATAGGAATCTCACAGAAGTTCTTGCTCAGGCTGGGTTTGAACCATGATCCTCAGATCCTAGTCTCCTGACTTGCTAGGATTACAGGAGTGAGCCACCAGTGCCTGGCTTAATTTTTTTTAATGTTTTTCAAAGAGCAAATGTTAAATAAAATGGATAAACCCTTGTTAGTTTTCTAGGTGTTTCTTTTCTTTTCTTTTCTTTTCTTTTTTAGTGGTTTTGTATCCTGCTAACATTGACTACTGTAAAGTTATACCCATATTCCTCTAGAGATTTCTTTTAGAAACTCCATGGTTCTGACTTTTCTATCTAGACATAAGATCCTTCTTGCATTTAATTGTCTTTGGGCCATGAGATATGGATTGAGGTTCATTTAATTTTCCAAATGGAAATGTATTGGGCACAAGGGAACTTCCATCTCAATCATAATGGAAATAAACCTGGAGAAGAGAGCCAGCTTTTCAGGCAAACACTATCACGGAACGGGGGCAAAAATAAAGGAGCAGTATGGGTTTTGAGGTTCAGGGGAGGGAAGAAGACTCCAATCAGATTACCAGGGTGGTCTAAGGTGCAGCCATTTTCCTTAAGCCACAGAATACAGCATGTTTGGAAAGAAGTCCGTTTTTCATGTTTTAAGGAATTTCTTTTCTGGAAAATCCAGACCAATGATCAGGTCATCTTTGGCAACACCAGGGCACTGAGACAGGTCAACTGAGGGAAAGAATGCTAGAACCAATCCCTCTTCCCAATCACACCCTGGATGCCAAACACCCTCCATTCCTCGCTTCTCCTTAGTGCCCCTCCTCACAGCCGCGCCCCGTGGATGATTTGTGGTCAGTCTGCGGTTAGAGCTTCTCCGGGAGCGTGGAAACACAGTGGATCAGAACCCCTGAGGCACCTGCGCAGTGGAACCCTGTGCGTCCTTAACCTGACCTTTTCTGAAAACCCGCTGTTTACGGCCTCATGCATGTGGGTCGCATCTCATGATAAGACACTTGCAATTATGGGCTGGCAGCTTGGCGCATGTGCAGATCCCTTCCAAAAACCTGCCAAGTCATGATCCCTCATCTCCCTAAGATTAGCCCACTGTCATCGACACCAACGGGTGGCCGTGGGCTTTCCAGAAAAGCCCAGTTTCAGCAGAGAAGACAGAAGAGCTGACCCCATCATGGCAGGCATGTGGGGCAGGCCGCACACGGCCAGAAAGCCATCGATTGTTTCTCCTTTCCACTCTGTTCCTGGAATTGCAAAGTCTGCTGCTCTCTTGCAGATCGCTCAGGGACTGTAGGGTGACACAGACAGGCCCAACGTATCTATGTCCTAGAAGCTGTTCAGAAGCACAGTGGGAGGAGAGATTAACACTGACTTCTCTCATTTATCCAATGCACGGAAGAGTCACAAGCTAGGGGACATGTTTGCTTAGCTGGCAGATTTGGGGGGAGATTGTTACAAAACTGATCTAGAATCAGAAATTGGAACTGAGTCAATTCCACAGAAAGACTATGAACTCCCTTTTGCACTGGATGAACTATTACAGAGTTCTTGGCCATAACCTGGAGCTTGCTAAATTAGTGTGATAGTGCACAGGCCTCCAGACTTTCTTGTATATATGCTGGCACCAGGGCCTGACCTCAGAGCTTTTCTTACTTGGCTTTTTGTTTGTTTGATTTTTGCTCACAACTGGTGCTCTACCACGTAAGCCACACCTCCAGTCTAGCTTTTTGCTGATTAACTGGAGATGGAGTCTCACTGACTTCAAACTGTGTTCCTGTATGTCTCAGCCTCCTGAGTAACTAGGATTACAGGTGTGAGCCCCAGCTCCAGCTTTGCTTCCATGATTATTTTTAGGACAGGGTCTTGATCTGCCTACTTTAGAGAGGTTAGGTATTTTTTTTTTTTGGGGGGGGGTCTGGTCATGGAGCCTGAACTCTGGGCCTGGACACTGTCCCTCAGCTCTTCAGCTCAAGGCTTGAGCCACAGTGCCACTTCCAGCTTTTTTCTTTTTGCTTATGTGGTGCTGAGGAATCAAACCCAGGGCCTCATGCATGCAAGGCAAGCGCTCTACCACTGAGCTACCTTCCCAGCCCCTGCCTACTTTAGGCTCCTCATGGGTTGCTGGGAGCACAGGCCTACACCTTGGTGTCCAGCCTTCCTCAGTGGAGACAGAATCTCAAAGACTTTTCTGCCTAGGCTTGACTGGCATCACAATCTTCCAAATCTCAGCCTCCCAT